ACTTTGCCCTTCAGTTGGCATCACCATTAGTAAAGCTTTCAATTGTGGTGAAGGGACGGCTATGTGGAAAAATCACATCCAATCACACTGTAAGTAGCAGAGTTACAAAGATCTCTAAATGTACAGTGTCAGTAGATCTACATCAGAGTCAAGGCCCCGATGGGGAAAGAGTAGGATCATAAGACCTGGGATAAGGACATTAGAATAGACAAACCTAAGAATCTTTATCTCATAAGCTCTCCTGGGTGGCAGAAGCAACCCCTGCCCTCTTGCCAATGAACAGTTTCTCCTTTCCTTGAGCCTACACAAAGATCTCACACCAAGCAGATGTGAGATGGCATTTATTCTTCCCAATACAAACGTCACTCATGTCACATCCTCAAATAACTGGGATCAGTTCCTACCAAATCCTGAGTGGGGAAATTTAACTCCTGACCTGGGAAAAAGAAGCTACACATCAAAGGAATTGAAAGGCTTGGCCAATACACGTGGGAGTGATCTTGGGGGTTTCAGACATGGCAGTGAGGAGGCAGGCATGGCAGAATATAAGACTGGCTCATCCTGGACCTCTCTTGAATAACTCAGGCTTCAATATTCTTGCAAGGATGCTTGAGCTGGTTTCTGATAGTTTCCAAAGATGTTCACCATCAATTCCTTCCCTCCTTCTATGTACATGCCACTCTTCATAACAGAAGATGGAATCTATTTTCCCCCTCTCCTTAAATTTGGTCCAGCCTTATGACTTGCCATAAACAACAGAATATGGTAGGAGTGTCACTGTCCCAGTCCCAGACCTGGCCTTTGACAATACTGGCAGTTTCTATTTCCCCCCTCTTGCATGCCAGCCACCATGTAAGAAATCAACGGAGACCCTCACACTGTGAGGAAATACAAGCTAACCATGTGGAGACACAATACTGAGAAAGAGAGATGCCTGACCAGACCCAGGTGTTCCATCCATCCCAGCCGAGGTGCCACTTACGTAAGTGAAAAGGACATCTTGGATGTTTCACCTCCTGCAACACTGCAAACACTATATGGAGCATATGGACACCCAGCTGAGCCAAACCCGGGCTGCAGAATTGTGAGAAAGAATAAATTGCTATTGTTTCAAGCCTTTAGGTTTTGAGTGGTTTGTTGGTCAGCAATAGATAATTGAAATACGGTCTTAATAGTTTGCAATGATGGTTCCTTAAGGCAGGATGATGGTCTACAATACATGAGGTCAAGATGCTAGAACTTCCATGGTAGACTAAGAAGAGGTCAGAAAGTTCAGGAGGTGGGAATGTACGATCTAAAAGTTCAGCTTCTGACTATGTTCTCTAGGAGGGCCCACAGGTCACTCTCTGCACTAAATCAATGAGGAGTTCATTGGTAAAGGGGACACCGACATCTCTGAGTAGCTCAGTTGATACTCTGGGATTAAGAGTAAGAGATGCTGCCATGCAATTGGTATCTCTAATGTCAATAGTAACGTTGGGATTCCAGAATGGCAGAGGTGGCATCCAACACCAGGTGAATATAATTACTGTCATGGGCATCAAGGCCAGAGTGACAGTGAGGGTGCCTTGATCTGCAGGGTTCTATGGCAAGTTGATTATGAGGATAGGATGGATGGACAGCTGACTGGGTGTTCCTCCGTTTTTATATTTAAAAAAAAATCAAGAGCTGGTAAGCAGAAGACTGACATCAGCCACCACAAAGGAAAACCACAGTCCCTCATCTTGATTCTAGATCTAAGTTCACAGAACCAGAACCTCTTGGCTACAGGAGGGGTCACGCCCCCTTAAGGAACAACTCTGCCGTGATACCATAATTTTATCTAGTAAATATTCCACCAATCCTCCCCCAAAGGGGCAGTTATCATTTACCAGGATAACTGTGCATTGGAAAAAGAATATTCAGAATTTTGACAGATAGTTAAAGAGATGGAGTCTGAGCTGACACAGAAACTAGGAGACACAAAACACCATCATAGCTCTCTGGCTAGAGCAGGAACTAAAGGAGGCCAGGTGATAAAGATGGAGTTTAGCCAAAGTCCAGTGGGTTGCATAGAAGCTGACAGAATCCTTTCGTTGATTTCATAATCTGTAGAGTAAAGGCTATTAGAATAGGAAGAGCCAAGCAGAAGCTCCTAAAACTCCCTGTATTAGTCAGGGTTCTCCAAAGAACAGAACCAATAGGAGGTGTACATTTATAGAAAAGGAGTAATTTATTTTAAGGAATTAGCTCATGCAATTGTGGAGGCTGGCAAGTCCACAATCTGCATGGTAGGCTGGCCACCCAGAGATCCGGGGAAGAACTGATGTTACAGCTTGAGTCCAAAGGCAGACTGCAGGCAGAATTCTCTCTTCCAAAGGGGAGTCAATCTTTTTTCTCTGAAGGCTTTTAACTGATTGAATGAGGCCCACCTGCATTAGGGAGGGTAATCTGCTTTACTCAAAGTCTACTGATTTAAATGTAAATCTTATGTAAATACTACCTTCACACAACATCTGGAGTAGTGTTTAACCAAATATCTGGGTACTGTGTCTAATCAAGTCAACACATAAAATTAACCATCATGCTGCCCTACAGCTGATGTGTGCAGTATTATTTCTGATCTAATACTTCGGCTGAGCTTGTATTCCCCCATCGTATCCCCATTCAATTCACTGGTCTGGCCTCCAGAAAGACAGACAGGTCATGGCGGATGATAGATGGACTACTGTGAACTTAAACTTGTGATAGCCCCAATCAGAGCTGCTCTCCTGGATCTGGTATTTTTACTGGAGCGTATCAGCAAAACCTCCAACACTTGTGCATGGTTATTGATTTAGCAAATGCTTTCTTTTCAATACCCAAAAGAAGAGATGATCAAAGGCAGTTAGTTTGCCTTTATATCACAATGTCACAATGAGAGCACCTTCACTCTCTCCTGTCAGGGCTTTGTTAATTTTCCAGCTCTCAGTTATATACAGTCATCAGGGACCTTGATCACCTTGACATGACACAGAACATCACATTGGTCCACTATATTAATGACATCATGCTCATTGGACAGGAACAGGAAATATTAAGCGCCATGTTTGCCAGAGAGTGGAAGAGAAATTGCATGAAGATTCATGATTCTGCCACATGGGGAACACTTAGGAGTTCAGTGCTTTGAGGCATGCCAGGACAAGTAATCTCACCTCATACATCTTTTAGAAAAAGGCACAGTGTTTGGTGGGCCCCTTTGGATTCTAGAGGCAGAATATACACGCTTAGAATGATTTCTCCAACCCTTTATTAGGTGACCTGGAAGGCTGCCAATTCTGAGTGGTGCCCAAACCCAGAGAAAGCTGTTCTGCAGGTTCAGACCATAAAACAGGCGATGCTGCCACTCTGGATTATATGATCCTGCAGACACAATGTTGCTGGAGGAACCTGTGGTGGATAAAGTTTCTGTAGGGAGTCTCTGAAAGCTCAAATAGGAGAGTTGCAATGAGAACTCCTAGGATTCTGGAGTAAGGCCATAATTACTATCATCCATTTGAACAGAAAGGTTCTAAGATGTCACTATGTAGTAGTGACTGAGTATATGACCACCAGATGTCAGGTAGCTATATGTCTAAAGCTAGACGTGATCAGATGGGCACAGCAACCAATATGATGGAAGTGGTACATTCAGGGTTGGGCTCAAAGGGTCCAGAGGCATGTGCAAATCAAATGGACAGGCAGCCTCGATGCCCATGTCCCCTAACTCAGTTGATCTGACACCTCTCCTTTAACTCACACCAATGGCCTCATGGAGGGTTCCCTATAACCAAGTGATAAAGGAGGAAAGGAGTTGAATTCATTTTACAGATAGATCAGTATGACAACAGCTGGAAATGGACCACTCTATTACAACCCCAGGTGGAGATAGCCCTGAAGGACATTGGTAAATCCTCCCTGGGGACAAAACTCTGAGCAGTATACTTTGTCATGCCCTTTGTATGGAGGAAGAGAGGGACTGAAGGACAGACATACACTAATTCCTAATAAGTGACAAATGGCTTGGCTAGTTGGTCAAGGGCATGGAAAGAGCAAGACTGAATTTCAGAGATATGTAGGTCTGGGGGTAAGGGGCATATGGATGGACAAGGCTCTCCAGCCAGATAGATGGTCAGAAGGCTCATCCTGTGGGTGTCAGCTAGCCTCTAAACTTAGCCGCCTGTTGCTTTGCAAAAGATCCATAAAAGGGTGCCCATGCTGACAAGGATGGAAGCTATGAATGGACCCATTTACTTGGGCACCTTTTCACCAAGGCTGATCTAACAACAGCCAACAAACAGCCAACCAGCCAGCAGCAGGCATCAGCGTAGCAACAGTGGTCAGGGAGAGCAAACAACCACTTGGTGGCAGGTCAGTTATATCAACCCTCTTCCACTTTGGAGAAGGCAATGATTCAGCCTTACTGGAATTGTTATGTACTCTAAATACAGGTTGCATTTCTAGTTCTGCAAGCATCACCATGCAAAGGCTTAAAGAATGCTCAAGACCCATTTTATGGCAAAGGATGTGTGACAGTGGCCTCGTGAACATGGGCTTCACTGGTCTTACCATATGCCCATCACCCCAGAAGCAGCCAACCTGAGAGAACAATGAAATGGAGTGATTTCATTTCCACAACCTTTACACTTCTCCTCTACCAAATAGGATTATAAACAGTATATGGTACTTCACAAGGCTGTCATGGGGTTGGATCTCTTTCGATACCCTCTTATGTGGCAACTGCTCAAGAAATGGTAGGCACTATTATGAATTGAATTAAATTGTGAAAGACCTTGTGCCCCAAGAGGAGCTGGTGGCTGGGCTTCCCTAAGCCCAGCAAGACTGTGGATCCCAGTCTAGTGTGTCCTGCTTTGAATACTCTTAGCCATTCAGAAAACTCTCGACTTGAATTACACTTTTCAGCCATAAGGTGGCTCAGCAGAGATGCCTTTACCGAGCAGAGCTGAAGGGGAGGAGAAAAGATCCTGCAGAGCTTGAGAAATGGAAACTCTTACAGGGATTGGCCACTTCAGGGGGCATAAATTTGGGCAAAGGAAAGGATTATAGAAACCCAGCCTGAAAGCTGTTAGCTCACTGCTGCTCCCATCCATCAGCCGGACCCAGACAGCAAGATTCCGTCTCTGCTCTCCTCCAAGGTAAGCAAGGAAACTATGGCTACGAGGTGGGGGTGTGAAGCTGCAGACTGCTGCCAGGCTGCCTGCCTGTGAGCCTCATGCAGTGAGAGCCGGGATGCCCATTCCTCAGGGAGGCGACATCCCTGAGTCTCTTTTAGTGCCCTGGACTAAGACTGGTCTGAGGGGATGTGTTAGTGTGCTTTTAGGGGTGGGGGTACAAAACCTCAAGAGTCATGGGACTTAGCTTATAGGTGCCATATCAGCAGTCTGTGGCCTTAATCCTGTTGCTTCACTTCCCTGGGCTTTAGTTTCTCATCTGTAAAATGGGAAGCAGGTTACTTTACCTGCCCAAAGGGCTGGACGATTTCTGAAACCCCTTTATTGTAGGATCTAATGCGACAGTGAGTTCATCTCTGAGGATAGATGAAATGATCTGGAGGGTGTTCAAAGTGGGGTTTGGGCATCAGCCAACTGTGGCTTTAAATCCCAACTCTGCTACTCCCTGACTGAGCAGTTGGGAATATTACCTATTCTTCTGAGTTTCAGTTTCCTCTTCTAGAACACGTGGTTGAGAACAATGGTACCTACTTCTTGGGGTTGTTATGGGTACAAACAACCTTGTGATGAGTAAGTGCTAAATATAGAGGAATGTATTTGGGTTTATGTTTCTAACTAGAGAAAAATGCATTGAGCAGACAAAGATCACATTAGAGGTGAGTTGGGGGGTATATGTTTTCCTATTTTGTGGTATAATGGGAAGAGCACAGGTTTTGATTCTGACAGTCCTGAGTGCGTGTCTAGGCTGCACAATTTGCTGTGTGACCTTGGGCAAGCTCCTTTACCTCTCTCTGCTTTCTTTCTGAAAAATGAAGTTGATGGGAGGCCTGTAAACATTCAATGCATTGTAAGTATGTTTATCCATTCTTTTTTGTTTATCCAACCATTTTTTAGAAAGTTCTAGAAAGTGACCGGCACTGTTCTAAATACTAGGGATATAGTGGTGAATAGCTTCAAAACTCAGAGCCACCCTCTGAAATAGGCTCTGTTAATAATCCCATTTTAGGGATAAGGAAACTGAGGCTCAGAGAAGTCCTAGGGCTCCTGCTTAAGGTCAGACAGCCAGACAATGCCAATAACAGAAACCGCAGTAAGGATACTAGGTGGCGTCTGTAGAGTGCGCACCATGTGCCAGGCACTGTACCAGAAAAGGATTTCCTCCTTGAATTCTCACAATGACCTGGTAAGGCAGGAACATCAGCGGCTCGGGTGCCGTGAGGGAACCGAAAGCTATGGCTCCTTAGAGGGGTCCTGGGCTTAGTCCAGAGCACCTCGCTGCTTTTTATGGGCTCATTCTCCAACCAAAACGGGAAACAACACAGCGGGCGTGGCTCCAAAAGGGCTCTGGGGACCACCTCTCCCTCTCCCCATCTCAGGTCCGGTGACAAAGCCTTCGCGGCGCCACCATGCGGCAGAAGGCGGTATCGCTCTTCTTGTGCTACCTGCTACTCTACACCTGCTGCGGCGAGGAGACGGGTAAGGATTCTGGGACACCTGAGGACTGTGGAATAAAGAAGCGGAGAGTTTCAGAATCCCTGCGGAGAGTTTCAGGATCTCTGGTTTAGAGACTCAGCCGTGCCTCTGAACGAGAGGCGCTATTAGAACGGACAGCGCAGGGTCGCTGTAGCCAGTCCCAGATTCGAGTCCCTGCTCTGTCAGTTCCTCTATCCCCCGAAATGTGTTCATGCCAGTTCAGTTGCCAGGCGCGGCGCCTTGGGGGAGAGTCTGTTCCCTTCATAGGGGCTCTCCGAAATGGGAGGACGGTGGCCCCACCTCCGCGGGTGGGCCTGAGCGTCAGGCACAGAGTAGGGGACTCTGCTCCCCACTGGGCGTGTCCACTCTCCCGCCAGACGAAAGACGACGCTCAAAGGACGACAGCAGCTCCGGGTTATTGGGCACACTGACCTACATGGCCGTCGGAGGAGGTGGGTTTGGAGGGCGGGGAGCCGGGAAAGGTGGGGCGGGCCCTGCGGCCGGCGTCCCTCACGGCCTCCTCTTCCTCCAGGACTCATGGCCATGGCGCTGCCCGCGCTGGGCTTCGCGGGCACCGGCATCGCCGCCAACTCGATAGCCGCCTCGCTGATGAGCTGGTCGGCCGTGGCGAACGGGGGCGGAGTGCCGGCCGGCGGGCTGGTGGCCACGCTGCAGAGCCTGGGTGAGTGCGGGGCTGGGCCCTGGGGCAGGGACACCAAGGCCAGGGGCCCTCGTGACTGCACTGAGCCGTTCTCACAGGCTAACTCAGCTCTACGAGGTGGGGAGCCTTATAATCCCCACCACTCAGTGGGGAAACCGAGGAACCGGCGATTCAGTAATTTGCTCAAGTTCTCCCAGCTATTTAGCACCAGAGCCAGGACTCAAACCCAGTTAGTCTGATTTTTGAGTTTCAGCCATTTCAGGTCGGGTGCCTCACTAATGCTTTAGCCAAGTCACAAGTCTCAGTTTCCCCACGTGTTAACCAGGATAACCATCCTCAGTTTAACATTTTATGAATCTTCCCAATCTCAGAGAACCAGAGTGGCAAAGAAATGTGGTGAAGCCACCCAATTCAGTCTCATACAAACTCTGGTCTTGCATTTCTTGAGCACTAGGAAGGGGATAGAGAGCACAGAATGGTGCTTCTGAAAAACATACATTCACTCCCCTCTCTCTCTCTACCCCACTCCCTGCCCCGCCTCAAGCATCCAAAATCCTAGAGAATAAACGTCCCTGACAAACTGCCCCTCTAGTTTTCTGAATTCTCCATCTTCTCTCAGTTCTGGATGACAAAAGCCCAAAGAACCAGCACAAAAGGACAGAGCCCTTCTCCCAGGGAGCAGAGAGGAAGAAAGACCAGGCTGCACCCCAGCAGTGGGAGGTGAATGGTGTGAACAAGGTTAGGGACAGTCCTGTGCTGTAAGATGGCCGTCCTCTCACATGTCACAGGGTTGTGACCAGGATGGAATATCTTACTTACAAACCCCCAGCACCCACAGGGAGGTCTCCCCAGAGGAGACAGTTAGCATTACTAACACAGTGCGTTCACTGCAGACTTGAAGAGAATGAGCTCATTTCTGTCTTTTTCATCTCTGAAAAATACCTCTGACTTGAGATGCCAAGTTGGGGGGTGGAGGTGGGGGCAGGGTTCACTTTGCAGAAGTCCTGTCCCCTCTAGGGCCCCTATTTCTCTATTTGGAAATGAAAAGGTTGAACTTGACCAAATGTTTCCAGACATTGGGATTCCTGGGCCTGGTGCTTGGGCCCCAAGTAACCCAGTTGTATTTGCTTTACAGGGGCTAGCGGTGGCAGCGCCCTCATGGCCAAGATTGGGGCCTTTTTGGGCTACACCATCCACAATCAACTTGAAAGCCGGAAGGAGACAAAGGACAAGGAGTAGCCAGCAGCTCCCCAGAACTCCTCTTTCCTCCTTCCTCCTTGTCCTCCTTTTTCTAGCTGTAGTCCAGAGCTTCTGCTGTCACACTTGGCAATGATCTAAGTTGAGAAAAAAAAACAACACAGAATAAACTCCTCTCTGAAAGCACTGTGTCCTGCTGTGAGTCGCACTCGCTATGCAAAGCCCAACAAGACATGGCTCTGGTCCGCCTCATGCGCACGCCCACCCCTTTTTCCCCCTAAAGGCCATCTCACGGCTCCCGGAGCACAGCTAGCTGATTTCGTCTCTGAGCCTTGGCATGCTTTGTTCTCTCTGCCTAGAATGTCCTTCCAAACCTCATAACCCAGCTCAGACATCCCCTCCTCTGGGACTCCTTCCCAGGAGAGCCTCCTGCTTCCCCGTCACAGCATGAATGCTCAGGCTCCATTTCATGCAGATTTTTTCTCTTCTCCCTGAGAGAAGCTTCTAGCTACTTCTCTGATTAGGCAGGGATGGAGAAGCCAGACCTCCATCCCCTGAAGAAGCACTAAAGTGGTCTCCCTCACATGGAGAACATAAGGCCAGATGTTTGCTTCGGGGGGAGAGTGTAACAGCAGGCTGGGGGCTCAGCAAGGCCTCCCTTCCCTCGGAGAACTCTGGGGACAGGCTGGGCAGTTTGCGCCAGGAGCCTGCACGCCTTCTGAGTGGGAGGGGAGGCCAAGCCAAGCCCTTGGGAGGGTTAGAGGTTTGGGAGGCCTGTCCAGTGAAACAGAGTGCCTGGGCCGAGGTGGGTAGAGGGCCAAGAAGCCCCAGTAATCAAATGGCAGTGAAGGTAGGGCTGATTCTAGCACTAGTGGAGACAGAGAGAGAACTGTGCTGTGGTTCTGGTCTTTGAATGGACAGACCAGGCTCCCAGGGAGATCTGCACTCCTGGGAAGCCGCCATGTGTGAACCGCAAAAGCTGGTCACTAAAGGGCCAAGCCAGCTGCCCTCAGGCCTCCTCCACCCAGCCCCACCTCTAATCTAGAACTTCTTTGATTTCAAACATGTGTGGAGATGGGTGAGAGGCTCCATCCTGCTTGCTCCTGCCCACAAGTCCAATGCCCTCTCTGCAGATGGCAATGTTTGCCTCAGCTAGCTTGCCCCAGGCTCCAGAGCAGCACTGTTTGTGGACAAGGGGCACAGGTGGTGAAGGCACCATCTGTACCCCAAACATTGTCTCCACAGCTTGTGTCCAAGAGGAGAAGCTGAGCTAAGTCCCCTGACCTGATAATCACCATGGGCCGCAGCCGAGTCCTGCCATGGTTAGGGCATCCCCAAAAGGATAGATGGAGTGGACTTCTGCCCATGGAGGGAAGTGGGGTTTCAAGCATCACACTCTCCGAGGCCTGGTAATGGCACCACCGTCCATTTGTAGAGTTGATATCCCAGAGACAGAAACAGGTGTCCCTCAGCTCCCCTCAGGGAGGGCACTGCGTCTAATTCGTCTCTCCTCCCCGGTGCCACGCACAGCCCTGGCACACAGAGGGGGCTCCGTGTATGTGGATAGAATTGAACCTGAGGCCAGTCTCCTCCCATCTACCTGTCCCTTCACCTTCCTCAGCCTTCATGGGAAGGAGGGACTGGACCACTTGTTCTTTCCCTGAGGGACCCACTGTCACTATCATGAAGGCCTGGGGGGAGGGGGACCTGAACCACCTCTAACACTGTGGTCAAGTTAACCCAGGCCCCTAACCTTTTATTCGGTATCCCCCAGCACAGATGAGGCTTCAGATAAGGCCATGGAGCAGCATGGTTAGGAATGTTCCTCTGAAGTCCTACAGATGTCCTGCCATCTCCCATCCGTGTGCCCTTACATGAGTGCCTTCAATTCTTTGTGCCTCAATTTCCTCCTCTGGAAACTGAGAATGAGAACAGCATGTACCTCACAGGGTTTTTGTTATGAGATTAGATGAAACAGAGAACAGAAGGAGTCTAGCATGATGCCTGGCATGTGGTAAACACTCAGTAAATATCCATTATTATTATGACTAAGGGCTTGCATAAAGCAAAGAGGAAATAGCCAAATAACAACCAGGAATGAGATAATCTAACTTTGGAGTCAAGCTTTACTTTCTAGGGCTCACAGCCCCTGTTCTTCCTTCCTCCTAAGGATGGGCACCCTGTCCCCAGGGGCATACACCCCCCTTTTATTCCCTAGACATCATATTGCGTAGAACAGCATCAAGGCCAGAGAGGAATGGACAGCTCTGCCCCCAGATTTTAGATCTGAGGCCTCAGCAGTTCTCAGGCTGAACGGCCCTGACAATGACTCATCTTTAAGGAGATCCTGTGCCTACCACAGTACCCCTTTGGGCCTGGGCAGGGTAACTACTTGCTTTCACTCTGCAGGCATTTACTGGGCACTCATTCTGTGTCAGGCACTGTGCCAGGTGTTAAGGACACTGCAGTGGAAAAGACCCAGTTCCTACCTACCTGGAGCTCTCAGTGCACAAACTAGGAGCCCCCCCAAAGTATCCATGACTTCCCTTCTTCCTCCCTGGTCACCACCTCCTCGCTCCCATCTCCTTTCACCCAACCTGGCCCTTGTCAATTTTTACAGACCACAGTCATCTTGCCTACAAAGTATGAGACAGAATGATGAACACAGACCAGAATTCGCTAGTGCAGCAAGTCAGGAGATGCTAATCACCTTTGGACTTCTCCTTGGCAATGGCCTTCAGAGAGACACAAAGCTGAGTCCTGGCCCAGCTCCATGGTGGGGTGCTTAGGCAGGTTATTTGCCCTTTCTGAGTCCCAGCTTCCTCGTTTTTAAAACCAGAAAGGTGTTGGACATCAGGGTCTCTGGTGCTTCCTGCCCTAAATCTGCTGAGCCTGAAGTATAGGATTCGGAATCTCCTGGGTCCTGTCAAGCTCCCAGCTCTCTGAGAGTTGATTTTATTTTTGGAAGCTGCCAAAAGCCACCCAGTGGTGCCAACTTTGGTGACTAAGGTGGGTGATTGTGCTGAAAGATGCCGTGTTTGGTCACAAATGAGGGTGACTAGAAACTAGCAGGGCAGTTCCTCACTCTGGGACCACGCCCTAAGAAAAGTCCAAAAATAGATCCCATCTGTGTGGCTGACTTGATGGAAAACAACGGTTGAGGTCCTCTGACATCATTTCTCTCTGGACCTCAGTGTCCTAGTCTATAAAACGGAGGGAGGGAGGAGTTGGACTCTCCTCTAGACATGGAATGTCTTTCCAAAGTGCTCAAGTTAGCGGTGTATTGCTCTTTGATAAAAATCCCTTTAGCTAGAAATTTATTTTCTTCTTTAAGGGCTTCCCTGGTCCCCAGACTCTTCCAAGTCCACCTACTTCCTCTCCACGGGAGCCTCCCACAACCCCATTGTGCGCTGCACCAGTATGGCCACCAGGTGGCAGTACAGTCTCAGCCTGGAATCCTCATCAGCCTGACTCATCCTTGAGCAGCTCAACAACCAACAGCCCTCCCTGGGGCCGGCCCTGGATGCTGAAGACCAAAATGAATCAGACCCTGGCCCTGTTCTGCAGCAGGAGATCCTGAAACTCATGGGAGTGGTCAACCCTGAGAATCTCTGCAGGGTCTGGCTCTCCTCCTCTTTCAGGCCCTCAGTCCTACAGCCCTGGGGTCTCCAAACTCATGGGCACCACATTCAAGACCTCTGCAGTCAGATCTCACCTCCAGACTTACAGCCTGTGCTCCCAGACCTAAGCTACAGGAACTGAAAGGAAATGATAGCAGCACACCAAACACACACTTCTTATCTGGGCAGCAGATGGTGATGCTGGGAACAGGGCATCCCTGGACCCTGCCTCGATGGGGGTGTAGACCAGCAGAGGGCCTGGATCAGCAGTAGCTGGAGGGAGCTGAAGCAGAGGAGGTCTGTGGCTTCCTGTGAAGAACTGAAGAGCCACTTCCTTTAAGCAGATGGCTGTGGAGGAGGGGCAGAAAATTAGGGAGAATGGGCTTCCTGGCTCAGGGGGAGAGGAGGGCCCTAGGAAGACCCTCTGAAGAGGCCCAGAGCAGCCTTCTATTTTCTTTCCCTCTGGGGTCTCCCTGGAGCAGACAGTGCAGACAGGCAGGTTCACACCTTTTCCATGTGCTGCGAAGCCACTGGGGAAAGTCAGGTTAGGGGCACCTCATTTGTAGAAGATCAGTAAAGAAACAGAGCCTTGGTTACTCCAAAAAGCAGGCCCAAAGGCACTTCCAGGCATGCAGGAAGCTAGGCCAGACATTTGCTCAAAGGCCTTCCCCCTGACTTTCCCATGACATCTTCTTCACTCTTAGGTCTCCACTCGAATGTCATTTATTCAGAGAAGTCCTCCCTGACCACTACTTTACAGCAGCCTCTTTGTTCTTCCCTACCACAGTGGTTCCCAAACTTATCTGCAGCTGGGAGTTACCTGGGGCCTTTGAAATTTACTGATAACTGTGTCTCACCCACAGAGATTTTGATTTAACTGTCTGGAGGTATAGCCTGGGGCTTGGGAAGTTAAAAAAATCTCCAGGTGATTCCAATGTGCAGACAAGTGCGGGAACCACTATGCTAGCATATTATCCTGTTTTAATTTTTGGAATAGGGCAGTAAAGAAATGGAGGCTTGGTTATTCCAGGAAGCAAACCTAAGCACTCAGCCCCAAATACTCAAGTCCAAGTACTCAGCCTCAGAACCTAGCCCCAAAAACCCATATCCAAGGTTTTACATGTATCAACTCATTTAACCCTAACCACATTCCTCTTAGGTGTTATTAGGATCCTCATTTTTACAGAAAAGGACTCAAGGCAGAGAGAGGTAAACAGCTGGAAAGTGACAGGCCAGGACCCAGTCAGTCTCACCAAGACAGTGCCTGGTACACAGAGGGGACTCTATAAATTAAACTGTCCAATCAAGGAACTTAATTTTAATCTCTCTCTGCCTCATCCATTCCCCCTCCCACTCAGTTGAGCAAACATGCAGCCTGTAGATTCTATTTTCTCATTATTTCTTGAGTCTGTTCATGAGTCTCCACCCACATGGCCCCCTTTCATCATCTAGCTCACTACCCTCAGGCCTAGGGGCACCTACAAAGTCCTTCTAATGGGTCTCCCTGTGTCCACTCTTGACCCTTGTGTTCTCTCTTGTCTATTCTCCACATTGAGTCAGGAAGAT